CTCTCTCTCCCTCTCTCTCTCTCTCTCTCTCTCTCTAATCGAATTCCCCTGTCCCTCTCACACGCCTAGGTTGTTGCCACCTCTCTTACCTACTCGGCTTCCACGCACGCGCGTACACACACACACACACTCTCTCTCTCTCTCTCTCTCTCTCTCTCTCTCTCTCTATATATATATATATATATATATATATAGTTGAATTCCCCTCTCTCTCTCTCTCACTCACACTCATGGATGACCAGCCTAGGCTGTTGCCACCTCTCTTACCTACTCGGCTCCTACACTACATTATCTAAATTTTCCAAGGCCATTTTATTGACTTAGGCATCAGAAGGCCCTTAGCCACCACCACACCGGTGGTTCTCCGTTGATCGCCATTTATCTTGCAAGGAATCTAGCAGGGGAACGGTCGAGAGAAAAGATTCATCCGTGAATATTTTTCCGTGAGAAATTTGCACAAATATTGTGTACGTAGTTAATTTTATATTTTAATTAAAATATCTAGGTATACTTAAATCATAAAGTGTACTAAATTAATTTTAAAATTCATTTAGCAGCACTTAAAATTATAAGTCTTGAAAGATTGGTTAAATGAAAACCCTATTTGTTTGTGTAAAAAGTATACCTGACGAGGTTAGACATGATCTGATGCTTGATCTGACCCTTCTTTGGGGGGCGTGGGACAAATTTACGGTTAGGCTTTGAACTGCACTCCTCAGTCTTCTCTGTTGTCCCTTTTTCGTTCCGTAGCTCTTTCGTTTCTTCCATTGATTTGTCGTTCCCTGCAAGTGCAACGTAACCACATATAGCTTTGGTAGGACAGATTTCAAATGGCCAATATCCCTCTTCCTAGTTTTACAAATTAATAACATTGCTTCACTAATGTTATTATAATTGCTTAATTCTGTAAATTAATGTTATTATTATTAGTTACGTAGTTCTTTAAGAGCATCCACAATGTGTTTCCTAAACCACCTCCTTAGACAAATTTTAGGGAAGATTTAAAAAAATACAACTCCAACCATACTCCCTATCCATCTCTTAAAATAGAGAGACCTTTAGGAGCTCCTAAATCTAAGGAGAGAGAAATGATTCCTAGTGGCTCCCTATAATTTAATGCTGCTTTATTTAATGAGTATTTCAAACCTTTAATTAATGCTAATTATTTTTATATTATTTTTTTAATAGAGATGAACCAATTAAAAAAGAGTTATGGCATTTTGACTCTCTAACGTAGAGAGCATGATTGAAGTTTAAATTTTATAGAGAGCTCCTAAAATAACTTTTATATATTTTTAACTAAAATTTAACTAAAAAATAGAGAGCGTGATTGTGGATGCTATATGTTTTTGTCATGTTTCTCTACTTTATCAGTGTACTAGTTTAATTTGCAGTGTATGAAGTGTAAATAGTTGTATACATACAATGAATGCAGCGTACGTGAATCATTTAATTGAGGTCACGCAACCCCACAACGCAATCAAGTTAATTTCATTAGTTTTCTGTTGAGAATCACGTAGATAGTTGAACAAATAATTGTATCTTAAATATTCATTCCTCTAAGGAAGATTAATGACGGTTGGTTTTCCTTTTATTGACGTTGTTTTAGTTTGTTCAATAAAGTCTATAAACTCTATGAGTTTTTTGTGTTTTTTTTTCCTCATGGTTCTAGAAATTAGTTGAGTTTGTTGGGTGTTTTTAGTCTCTTTAAGAGAATCATACCGATTAATAGCTAGTTTTTGTCTTTGAAAGTCATTGAACAAGATTCGGGGAAATTATGGCAGTTGAAAGAGGTTTTAAAAAAATTATTTTCATGAATGCCATATTGTTATTGGGATGGTTCCCTTTACATCCTTTATAGTTTGTGTCCTTTCTACTGTTTCTTTTTATTGATCTAATAAAATTCTATTGCTTTTTTATCAAAAAATATTCATTCAAAGTTTCCATGCTTTTACTAAAAATTTGCATTGTGTATCTTGAACCTTCCCTATCAAGAAATATTCATTCAAAATTTCCATTATTTTACTAAAAATTTGCATTGTGTATCTTGAACCTTTTACGGACATATCAAAATATTTGTGTTTCTGTGCAATCAACATTTATGTTAGAGCCAATATCTAAGAGCAATGCTAGCAACCTTCTCTTTAACCTTCTCTTTTGGACCTTCTCCCTTCTCCTAATGACATGTGTCATTTTCTCTATACTTAAAACAATAACATTAATGCATTAGACAATATATCTTTTGTTCCCAAATTTACCCTTATTAAATGCATTGGACAAACTAGCTTTTGTTTCCACTTTGTTTAAAAAATTAAGAGAAAATTTTAACATCTCCCACAACATTAACGTTAGTTTTTTTTTTTTTTTTAATAAAAAAAAATCTGTTTACTCTTTTTTTGGTGAGTGAAGAGGAGATGGGTTTTTAGGTATGGAATCGAAGGAGGAGAGAGAATGAGAAGCACGATGTGCAGTGGAGTTTTGAATTGGAGAGAAACGGTGATGATTGGGTAAGGATGGGGGCGTTGTTTTGGCCAAGGAGGGGACTAGGTTTTGGGTGAGAGAGAGAGAGAGATGGTGTAATGGGTTTGGGTTTTTTTTTTTAATTATTTTTTTTTATAATAGTTTCTTTTTATCTTTTAACTTTTTCATTCAATTAGAATGTTCATTAATTTTAAAAAATATTTATCTGTTTTTTTTTATTTCCAAAAATTTTAACAGTTTTATTGAAAAACTTATTTTTGGAAAATTGAAAAACTTATTTTTGGAAAAAAGAAAAAAGTTTTGTTTTAGGGAAGTATAATTCGTTTTTATTTTCAAATATTTACTTGATTGAACTTTTAGTGTTTATTTTTTAAATTTGATTGTTTAACTTAAGTTGTAAATTGAAGGAAATATAAAGTTAATACATTTAATAAGGGTAAATTTGGGAACAAAAGATATATTGTCTAATGCATTAATGTCATTGTTTTAAGTGTAGAGGAAATGACACATGTCATTAGGAGAAGGGAGACGGTCCAAAAGAGAAAGTTAAAGAGAAGGTTGCTAGCATTCCCCTTCACAATGAGTTCCCTAAACCATCTCATTAGAAATTTTTTAGGGGGGAATTGGAAAAATACAACTCCAACCATGCTCCTTATTCACCTCTAGGAGCTCCTAAATATGAGGAGAGAAAAAAGACTCCTAGTGACTCCCTATAATTTAATGTTGTTTTGTTTTATATATATTTTTAATTTTTAATTAATGCTAACTATGTTTATTTATTTATTATTTTTAAAAGATGAACCAATTATATTGAATTAAAAAATAATAATAGTTTTTATGACTTCCTAAACTAGACGACAGTATGATTGGAGTTCAAATTTTATAGAGAGCTCCTGACATAGTTTTTGTGTGTTTTTAGCTAAATTTTAACTGAAAAATAGGGAGCATAATTGTAGATGCTCTAATTTTATAAGACCTTGAACTCAGTTTAATCCATAAAGCATCCTAATTAATTTCGAAGATTTTGTTTGCATCTGACAGATAGTAATTGTTCACGTTTTTCATGTTTTTTTGTTGATCTTCTCTCATTCCCTAAGTTTAGGCCAAAGAAACTAGCAAGCTCTTTTGTTTTTCAAACATGAAGAAGAAAAGAAGAGCAGCAAATTAAATAAACAGTTTCGGCCGGACCGACTTCATAACCAAAATTGAAATAGTTTGAGCTAAGTAAATGTGAGCGGTACTCTTCTGATCATAGCTGAAAGAGAAAGAGAGTTTAGCAAAATGAATGGAACCTGCAACTTTCTCTACTGTGAGTTCCATTTGAGTGTCGACTAAAATTTCGAAGCCTTGAGGCAAGAGACTTTGTTCCGCTAAACAAACACTTGGTTGTTCTGCTGGAGATCCAGAAAAGCTCTCTCCTCCGTGAGAGCTTCTCTCTATCTACTTGTGGGAGCTTCCCTTGCAATGTGCAGCCCGTCTTCACTCGTGATCAATTCATCTACCAATCCCTCCACCAAACCCCCTATTTGGTGCTCCCAACAACCAGCAGACAACCCTTTAAATTTGATTGTACCCTGTTGCAAATATCTACCAATTCCTCCACCGAACCCACCTACCTCATTAGTCTCTCATTTAGTACAATCGGACAGAAATTTAAGATAAAGCACACCTTGAATGAGCAAAACAGATTAATGGCGACAACATATTAACAAACTATTGACATTCGGTCCCTTATTTAATTATTTAGATGAAATAATTAAATACAGCGAGCTGAAATTAGAGGTGGGCATTGGAACCACAAATTCAACGAACCGAGTCGAAAAAACCCATTTTGACAAAATAGGTCCAAAAACCGAACCAGACCGATTTGTAACTTGAAATCCACCAACACATTCTATTTTATCATAAATAATACGAAAAAGTCACTTTTGGTTCTTGTGGTTGATCACTATTATTCTCAAGCTTGTAGAATGTGCAATTCAAAGTAACTAAGAGCATCACCAATTGTGGGTGGTACTTTCGGGGGTGAAAAGCCACTCCACTTTTACATCCTCTTCACACATCTGGGGAGTATAAATGCGCTTTGTACTCCAATGAGTTCGATTTGTTTCTGTTAATTTGTTTGTGTTTTTCTTTTCTATTTTAATTTTATAAAATTAATTTTGCGTGTGTGTAAGTTTATTTTATTTTTTCAAACAAATGGATCTTAAAAAATTTAAATTTGGGGAAGATATGATTTATGTGAACAAAGGTTGTGGTTATATATAGAAAAATCAGATTTTTGTTGTTGAAGGTTTAGGTGTTTTTTGCTAATATTTAGGACCATTAGATCATTTTGGGTTGGCTTGGACCATTTTTGGGCCTTCGGATCAAGCTATCAGTTAGGTTTGTAAAGAATGAATCCTGGTCGTCCACTTTGAAAAGAGAAATCATAGCCATTAGATTTTGTAGCTATTGGAATTTGTTTCCAAATTGAATCAAAACCCATCTCTAGTCATGGGCTAGAAATAATTTTGGCCAAATTTGGAGGGCCAAATTTGGCCATTTGGCCCTCCAGCTAGGCCAAATGAAGTCCAGCTTTGGCCTATGCCAATTTTTTTTTTTTTTTTGTGGGCTCAACATATGTGCTTTTCAAGAGGAAAAAGTATCACGCTTGAGCAAGAGCACGAAACATTTTGTGCAACTACAGATCCAACAGCCAATATATATTAAAGGCCCGTTGACATCATTAATGACGTCAACTAGCCGTTTGGTTTTTATTTTTATATTAAATTACCTTTTTAAATGTTTTTAAATTCGTTTTGTTTATATATATATATATATATAATTGGTTTCTGATCATTGGAGGTCAGAATCATCCATTGAAAAGTTATTAATTAATTATTTAAAAACTTTTTAAATGTTTTAAATTCATTTTTAAAAAATATAAATTAAAAAATATTGCCTCTAAATCGTAGTTTAATTAAATTAAACAATACATAGTTGTGAAATATATGAGTGTTGTACCATAGTTTTTCTCAAAATAATAAAATATAAATGACCCTAAAATATAGCCATGCATAGTTGGAAATGGCAAAATTTAACTCTACACTATTCTTTAAAAAATTAATATTTTAGAGGGCTCCTTAGAACTTGCTAGGCCACACTATATAATATATATAACAATAATATTATTATAATAACATATATCCATATGGCTTTTAGTTAGCATGCAATATACAATACAATGCCAAATAGGCCATCTTTGCCTTTTCCTTTTCTTCATGGCTTTTTTTAAGGACTATGTCCAATGATCTTCAGTTAAGTCACCAATAACCCAACTAGCCTCGTGTTTTTCTACTTCCACGACAGAAACCCACCATGAATACTCACTATGTTTGATGGAATATATTTAGGCTCAAACACTGCCCCCTCAAATCTATTAGCTTGACGTCAATGAAAGAGTAAATGAATTGAAATTCTTTGTGCTTTTAGTTCAAAACTTGATAGATCACTTACTCACCAAGCCGTTAAATAATATATTTTCAGATATCGGCTATAGATGAGTGAATCATAGATCTAACCACCAACTCGAAGAGGCTTGTCAGCACTAAAGAGTGCTTTGTCTTCTTCAGAGACTGCAAGCAAAGGGAGGTGGAAATCTGGCTGCGGTCACTGGCTTGTGATCAACCCTGGTTCACAGTTAGAGGAATCCACCAGGCTTCTGCTCGTTGGAAGGACCTGACCACCATAAGAGACGTCCTCCATGCTAACAATGTAACACCCCGACTCCAAGTTTAATTCCTATTTTAATTGATTTAAATGAAATTACAGAATTACCCTTGGGTAAGGGTATTTTGGTCATTTTCTCTTTCGGAAAGAGTTTGGGGGCAGTGACTGTTATTTTTGGGTAGGTTGTGCTGAAACGAATCCGTAGACATGCGGTAGGCTTGAATTGGAGTTGTAACGAAGAAATGGCGATCAAAATACTTCCAGTGGCAAAACTTGTAATTATTTCGAAAAAAGTTAGAGTAAAAATCTGATTTTTTCACTTTCTACCTCACTCTCTCTCTCCTCCGTGCGTCTTCTTCTCTCTCTCTCTCTCTCTCTCTCCTCACTCTCGACTCCGTCACTCTCTCTCTCTCTCTCTCTCTCTCTTTGAATCTCACTGCACCGGCCACGGCAGGAAGTGAGACCGGTCCCAATCAACTTCTCTCGAAGCCCCAAACCTGAACCATCCAGTTTCCCCTCCGGAAAACTCGAGAATCGTTGGCAGTATCGACTGGTTCAAATCGAACTTTTCCCATCGTTGTGCCGCCTTCTCCGCCGTCCAATTCCGATGAGACATGTGGGGTTTCTTCCTCTTTTTACATGCTCTAGCTGTCTGTTGCATAGATTTGGATCAATTTGTTGTCTAGAATCCCGATTTTGAAACCTAGGTTTTGGCCGGATTTCAAAGTGAAATTCCAGCCGGTTGCCGTCCGAATTGGACCTCCCCGTAGTTGAATGAAGTGATCTTTGCCTCGAGAAGTATCTAGGGTAGGAAGGGTGAGCCGTGGTGTGGAGTTTTTCCGTTGCCGGAATTTACTCTACACACCCACGCTCTGCCGGCTCGTGTGGCGGCGCGTGGGAAAGGGTGGTGAAGTTGCATTTTGTCCTGATGAGATCATCAGGTTGTCACGAGTGCTTAGGATTTCGCGAATGTCAATTCGGACGTCGTTTGACTATCGAACAGATTTCGCATATTGTGCGTTATCCGGGTTCGATAGGTTCTGACCGTTGGATCATTTTCAAATTAAAATATGTTGATCTAGGTACTCTTAGAATCATATAGGAATTCTCGGATCGTGAATTGGAGCCCCGGATGTTCCAATTGAATAATTCAAAGTTTGTGGGTTAGCAATAACTGTGCAATTGTGAGCGATTCCTAAACTTGTAATCGGAGCTTAGGATATCTCATTCTACGTACACACACCGGGAACTTGGAGATTTAAGTATTTAATTTGTGATTTCCGTTTCGAAGTGATCTTCTATTAATTAAGAGTTCGTATCTCGAAATAGGTGCTCCGATCGATCGTACACAGCAGGCAGGACCCTCTCGGGGTTGGGCAGCTTGGGACTATTTGTGAGTAGACTTTGTTTTCAATCATACACATGGTTTTATTAATGAAAGATTTATGCATAATGTTTTAAATGGTATATTGGATATATTGATATTAAAATGTGGAATTTGATGTTCGTATAGCGCTTTGGCAATATATTGTGGGTTTGACATATTTGAGTATCGAGAGTATGTTTGTATGGATTTTGGAGAAATTCTATATATATTGTCTATATGTGGGGTACTTGGGTTGTTGAGGTGAGATTGTGGAAGGACTTGAGTATGAGGGGTTGTTGAGAGAAGTTGTATGATTACACTATGTAAGTACCTTCCCCAGTTACTAGGCTTCTCACACGTGGTGTTGGAATTTCTGGCGTGTGGGAAGAACATGTTGTTATTAGTCTCGCACGTGGCGTTGGACTTTCTGGCGTGTGAGACACTTCCCATACGTGGCGTTGGAATTTCTGGCGTATGGGAAGATTATGTATATTGCTTGGGATCATCACACATGACATTGGAATTTCCTGTGTGTAATGATGTAGTCTGCGCGTGTAGGACTTAGTATTGGAGCTACACATGGCGTTGAATGTTCCGGTGTATGAGCTATGGAGTTTCGCCCCCCGGTTGGACTGCTCATCCCTAGACGTAGGATAACACTTGGAAATCCTACGGGCTAGCCAAACAATCCTCCAGTTGGATTGTTTCCCCGGTACATAAGTAGTGAGAGAAGTACTTGATATATCTATAATTATATATATATAGGTGTGAGTATAAAGCAATTAGAGTATATGTAGTGGGCTGGTAAGAGTAGTATAATTTTGGGAATGGAGTTTGGGTTTTGAGGTTTTTGGGTTCAATGGGTTTCTGAGAATAATGTTTTTGAGTATTTAATTATGAATTGTGAATCTACATGCTTTGGGCATTATTTTTACACAGTGGGGTTATTATGTTGTTTTAATTGCAAACTTTGTTTTTGTCCACTCACATATTTTCTGTTTTGCGGTCCCCCCAGACAGTAGTCGCTCCAGAAAGCGTGCAAGCAGTGTATGAGGCTCGAACTGTGAACTTCCGTAGTTAGGATTTGAGTAATTTCTTTCTACTCAACTGTTGTTGTAAACTAATTCTGTTAGACGCTCTGTTACTACCCATGTTAGGTTGTTACTTGAGGCCGGAGGCCATTTAGTATGTATTGTTGTAATGTTGAAAGCATGTTGCTGGTTGGGATTTTTATTATGTATATTGTGCAGGTTGAATTTTGTTGTGTTTGTGCATTTTACAGGGGAGGCTCTGCCAAAATTTTGGTAGAAAGTCTCATGGTGATAGATTTTACAGGGGAGACTCTGCCAAAATTATGTTATTGAACATATTTTCATTTTGATTATATGTGTTTTTCAGTTGCATTTAATATGTATTTGTTTTTTGTTTTTGATAAAGAGCGATACTATTTTATTGATAAGAGGA